TTCCAGAATGGTTGGGCTATATATATTTGCTCGAAACAAAAAGTACTTTGGTAGCACTAATAATTAAATAAAATAAACCTGAAACGTCAATTCAGTCAAAGATTCAATTCCTTGGTCACTGATATGAAGCTCGGTGAGTTCACTAAGCATCGAAATACCACTTAATTCAGTTAAACGATTAGCCTATAACAAAATGCATAACACCAGGTTTTTAACATTAACAATATCACATGCCATTTATAAAAATACTGTACCACAAGTTTCCAGAATCAACTAAAAGCAACTCCATACTGCAGTTTTTTCTTTAGGAGCAAATGAGAAATCAACTGAATTTACTTTAAAAGCAATAAAAAAGATGAAAAATCTCACCGGAGCACTAAGTACAGTAAGTTTGACCAGACTTTCCAAGTTTTCAAACTTCTGAATTTTATTTTTACCAATGTACAACTCACGAAGACATTGCAAATGTCCAATGTTTTCTAACTTCTGAAGAAAAATAATTGATCAATACCATATAATTATTAAAAGTGTTGGGAGCTAAATAAACATATTACTCAGGGACAAACGTAACGTAACCTTGATTCGATTATCACCAAGTTCAAGCACTTCAAGTTTCGCGAGTGATTCTAAACCATCAATTTTTTCAATTTTATTGTGCACCAAATAGATACGTCTCAAATTACACAGTGCAGATAAACCTTCGATTTTTCTAATACGATTATAGCTTAGATCAAGAATTACAAGATTAATCAGTGCATCGAGATTTGAAATAACCTGAAATAAAAACATAAATTCCTTTCTTTAAACAATCTACTTTATTCCCTCTAATTCAGTAATCTAAGCCACGAATAATATATATATATATTTCAAGGTAAACTTGTTATAGATGTGTCAGTATAAGGCAATCAGGATAATTAACTCATAACATAAGTTAATTAGGTTAACCTAATCAGAATGTTACTAGTCAGAATGTTACTATGTGTGTTTTTTTTTTGCAATAGTAGGTAAGAAAACAAATCATACACCTCAATCTGATTGTCGTATAAATCAAGTTGAGTAAGAGTAGTGATTGCAAGATGATCATTGAGTGATACTAATAGATTTTGTCGCATGCAAAGTTCCTTTAAAACACAAGTGCTTCATTTTAATGACCAAAATATATAAAATACAATACTGCTTCAAAATCTTCACTTCAAACGTATTTGTAATAAATTTCATAGTTAAATATTAAAACTGCACCAAATGAACATAGCTAATGAAGAATAACGCTTTACCGATAAGTTGATAAACCATATTGACTATCAATAAAAAACTGTATAAAAAAGCTAAATATACCTTTAACTGGGAGAATCTTGATAGATCTGGAATAGCATCTACGCGACACTGATTTAGATCTATAATCTGAAATAAATACTCTAAAGAGAACAAAGTTTCTTCGAACAAAACTTCTTCGGACAAAAAAAGGATGACTTTTAATTTCACTCTCCAGCTAATTTACTTAATCTTATATTCACTTTTCTACTCATGACTTTTCTTACATTTAATGTCCATCTTTTGATGTAAAGAATCAATCAGCTGAAATGCACATTATGAAACAATCTGCATATGACAGGATGCATAATTCATCCCTATTTTTGACGAAATAGTTACTTCTGAGTCTACATCAAATTCATTCAAGTCGAAGAGATTCCGATGTAATCTCTTGTCGTTCTCTCTCAGTGTCATATCTGTCTCATCATCCATCGGTTCATTGTTACAGTTAATATTACCGTCACCCGCTGCCATTTCTAAAATTTTATTCAGCACTACCTATTCGAGTACAACACAAAAATAATTCGTATTTTAAACGAGGATCACAAAGCATATATTAACAAAGACTAAATCAATATACATATATAGCAACAGCATAAAATTATGAAATGGTTTATAAATTACACAAATACGCATTTTCAAATAACCATAACTTTTAGCAAGTTATGCAGTCTCACGAATCGCAAACTTCTGAATGAAACTTTTTATAACCGAACTTATTCTATCTTCTAAATTCGAAACTTTAGTATTACATTCCATCACCAACATTCTTTTTCTGCATACCCTTGAATTGCTCTTTGTGTAACATTGGATAACCACCAACACTATACACAAATAATGGTGTCATTAACAGGAAACCGAAAACAGCAATAGTTCCGGATGTTGGTCTACGGTAAAAGGCCAATCTTGAATATCTGTCCAATATTTTAAACCAAAAGTTCCTACTGGAATTTCGCATCTTGTTTTCTGATTTAGAAATCGACTATTCTTTATTAATGCGTCCACGCCTGCATAGAAATCGGTTCGTTTATCATAATTATTTCATGAAATGACAAAACCGATGTAATTATGTATGAAGCTGAAGCTTCCTGTGAAGCTCCTGTGTAACAACAACACTTCACATCCAGAATCCTAATGGAACCCGGAATCATTTTACAGAAAACCGTAACAGTCTACACACTAATCTCCCAACATCTAAAGAACACACTTTCTCCCAATTCTCTTCTAATTCGTAACAATACGTCATTTCCACAAGTCTTACCTCTCTATTCCCCTCATAATTGCTACACTATTTACTACTAAAGATTATTGAAATGAACGCAAGAAGCCATAAGGTGATATGCGTGTGACACGTGATATTCATTTGACATTAGAGCTTTATGAAATAGAAACAAATCAGGTAGGAAATCAGACTTCACTTAATAGTGATAATTATAGGATAAGATGCATTTCAGGATTTCATTGCAATATCGCATTCCCATGTTAAACGTATGACTTCTAGAAGGCTAGCAATGCTTTTGCTAGTTGATTCCGAATCTTCCACGTAATCCAATTGTTACTGGTAATATCCGGAATGATTCCTCAGAGACTAAAATTTCGTTTGCCCTCCCAAGAAACGAGAAAGATACATAGCTAACGGAAGGAAGATGACACAATCCATTGCAACTATAATAGTTCGGCACTGGCAAAAAACTTGTCATTCTTTGTTTTGTCGTGTTGTACGTCAACAATTGGCATTGACTGAGGCACCTGACATTCATATCACAGCGACATTTGATCTTATTTCGTTGAGCTTGCAGAAAGTTGCACTACTTCCCACATTTTCTTACATTTCAATTTCGAAAAAGAATATGGGATTTTAATTCCCACTAGAAATAAGATGCTAACTTTAGAAATTGAAAAAGTTTAAATTTCAAATTCAATTTTTGAAAAAAAATCTCTTCTGTGAGAAGTTGTAACTTACATCTTTCAATGTGTTCAGTTCTGAGACTATGCTTTTAATTCCTTTATTGATTTTTGAACTGCCTCTATTTTCAACTAAAAGCAGAGATTCAATGCATTCTTTATATATTCTTCTTATAGACACTATTGCATGCAGCTGCATCTACACGCAGTTCAGCAAGTACAACCATATTCTTCTTTATTTACACTTAAGCATATTCTTTGAAGACTTACTTTCTACTACTTTTACTCGTGGCAATTCATCGGCATCTTTTTTAGGAAAAGATGTGTGTATAACTGCTACTGGAGACATTTTTACTGGAATTGAAAATTCGTCCACTCTGAATTATCACTAATAGATACTAAGTATTAGTTTTAATACGTACTATAAAAAAGCAGCCTACGTAATTTACGGACAATTACAGTTAGCAGGATTAGTTAGAAGAAAAGTTGTATCAAGAATTTTATCCATCATTGCTGATGAAGAGCGCTATGAAAGTTTTACATTAAGATCGTTATTTGAAACTTTTCTTAAAATTCTAGAATTATTTTACTTACTAATCCTTCTTTGAGGAAACATCAAAAACTCGAAATCGTTCTACTTATTCACTTACGAAGATATATAACCAAAAAGCACTTTAGTTTTTGTGCCTTCGAATTTTCGGGTTGCGCTATGATTTCGACACTTTCACTCTGGAAGACATGAACTTAACAATATTTAAAAATGAGAAGCATTAAAAGTGGACAAGTTCATACATCCTTTTATTCATTTGCTATTCTGCTTCTCTTTTCTCCGACTATCACTATTCCACTTACCACTCTATCTTTTTAATATATTGTATTAAAGGAAGTAGAATAAAATGTTAACTGTTGGAAAAAAAAATGGGAATGAATTTTAGTTGTTTCAAAGTAATTAATTAGTATTAAAGAGATGGGTTGGATGTTAAAAAAAGAACGCTGGCATTGATAAGTTTATTATCATAATCATTACTTCCTTCTTTTAACTCTATTCAATGCAAATCAACTCCTAATCTTTCCATCTTTTGTTGGTATATTTTAGAATTACTCGAAATGCACCAAAAATTATTTTGCAAAGAAGAAGTCAAGCAAGTAAACCTGTTTATATTTTTATTCTTTCATATACATACCTTCTTCCTCCATGTACTCCTCCAACACATCGTTCTAGTAACTTAAAGGTAACAATAAAGATTTTATCTCTTCAATTCTTTTTAAAAACATTGTTATAGTCTTGTGGGACATAAGTAAGTCAAGTCAAAAGTTATATGCAAATTTCGGATCACCAGAAAATTAAGCTCCAGCTTTACTTCACACACCTTCTTTCACGAGCCTAACGCTGATCTATATTCAACGGCTGGCCGATTATTTCTGTATGTGACGCACTTTTACACGTGTGTTACTTTCGTATGTGCGTAAGAAGATTCGTGCATTTGAGACATTTGTACCTGGGATGGGTAATATTATTAAAGTTGTTACGTCAAATTTATTCTTTTTGATCTTAATGAGGTATGAGATTAAACTGGTAAGAGTTTCTCATTTTGTGGTCAGTATGATATGTGAAGGTTAAATTATTAGATTCAAGTACGTAAATTATTTTTTAAAGCTTTTCAAGCTCAGTCTCTTCCTTTCAAATCGCTAAGGAAATGATCACAGTGAACATTCAATGGATTAGACGGACACGCCTTTCTTAAAATTTACCTCATTGCAAATTTGCATACAGATAATAAGCAATGGTTGTGGAGAGTGGAGCAAAGCAATGTTTCATTGAGCTTGCTAAAGCAAATACCAGTGCTGATTACAATAAAGCATTGAAAATCACCAATAAAGGTAAACTGCTGGAACATATTTTGGCAAATATGCTTGTTTAAAAAGCAGTCGATATTCATTTTAGCTCATTCAATTACTGACGATTAATTATCTAGTTAATCATCTTTCCATCTTCATACAAGTGGAATTATTTTTTTCTCTTCTGTTTTCAGTGCTACGCACATATCCAAAGGAAACACTGGCATTTAAATGCAAACTAGTAGCACTCATACAGCTTAGCCGATTAGATGAGGCGCTCATTCTGATCAAGAAGACTCCACCTCACCATATGGGGTAGCTGTTTTCATATTTTATTATAATGTATAATTTTTTAACTAATTCCATTTAATAAAAATTTGTCGTTTGAGGGCCTAATTTAATCAGCTCATGACATCAAATTTCTTAATTTCTAGAGATAGTTTGTTTGAAAAAGCGTACGTTTTATATCGAAAACAGGAGGATGGCGCCGCATTAGAAACACTCAGTAAAGCTTCAGAATGTGATTACCGTTGCATGGAACTGAAAGCGCAGTTACTTTATCGTGCCGAACGTTTTGATGAAGCTTTGGAAATATTTATGTATGTTTTCATGTTTTCAGTAAGATTTTAAACTTTATGATAAGATTCCAAATTTGTTTTTTTTTTTTCAGATTTTCGAATGAAATTAATGTATAAGGAAATGAAAATCATGAATTTATTTTCAGAACCTTATTAAAAGATTATTCGGATGATTACGATGAAGAACGTTGCGCCAACTTGATCGCAACGATTGCACAGTTGCAAGGAAGTGGTCACCAGCAGGTTTTTTTGTATTTTGGTGATATGGCGATTAGTTAGGAATGAACTAAAATTGTCGCTGTCGGTTATGAAGAATAGTGGATTAAGGCTTTAGGGAAGATACTAGAAAGTTGCGCAATACTAATTTTGACGAGTGGGATGCTCACTACTGTCTCACTCAACACAGAAAAAAGAGCGAAATTCGCACGACTCGGGAAAATTGAAGAAAAAAGATAAAAGGCGAGAGGTAGATTCTGACAGTTTTTTCAGCAACTACCATCACGTCTGGATACATTTGAGCAACTATATAATGGTGCTTGCCAATTGATTGAGTCAGGTGGATATACTCAAGCGCTGAAATTTCTTGAAAAAGCTGAAAGTTTGTTTTTTGCCCATCTCATAACCTACATATTGTAGATGTTGCATACCTTCTGTTATTGTAATGTTTTCTTCAGAGTTATGCAATGATACGTTAGTAGAGGAAGGTTTGTCAGAAGAAGAAATCGAGGAGGAATTATCCGTGATTCGAGTCCAAAAAGCTTTTGTTCTCCAGATGCTGGGCAAAAGAGATGATGCATTAAAAATTTATTTGCGAGTTCAAAATCTTAAGTTAGTAAATTTGAATATCACAGGTTTAAAAAACTGTTCAACTTTAGAATTGAATTCCTTTATTTTAGTCCATCAGACAAAAGCGTTATCGCAGTGGTTACAAACAATATACCATCGTGTCGTATGCAACAAAATTTATTAGAGGCACGAAAGAAGTTAAAAATTGCACTGCAGGTGGAGAGTTCTAAGCTAACAGCTCGACAACGGCGTATTCTTTTGTTAAATCAGGTCTTCACTCATTAAGCAGCTTTTAAAAATTTTTTAAAAATATCTTTTGCCAATCAGTAGTGCAATTGGTGGTAGCACTTATATTGATAAAAATGATTATAAATAAAGTGTTAAGTTTTATTTCAAAAAAAAAATCTTTTTAAAGTTTGATGGACATTTAAAAAAATGCAATGGCTGGTAAACTGTTCAGAATAGGTTTTAAAAGTAAAACTCATAGATCAAGTTATTTTTAATACGTATTTCAGTTGTTTTCTTCTTTTCATCTTCACTAAAATTGCTATGTCACTTTTTAAAATTGTTTAGGCTTTGGTACATCTTTATTCAAATCAGCGTGAACCTTGTCGTCGAACTCTCGAGGAATATATCAAGAAATATGGTTCTTCTACCGAAGTGACGTTAATAGAAGCGGCACTTCATGTTCGTTCGAAAGAGCTCCAAAAAGCACTTGTGATTCTCAAGGGTGATCCCTCAAAAGAAGCAAAATTGACAGCAGTGCAAGTTTTGCTTGATGAAGGTTTGCGTTCAGCTTAATATAATCCAGTTCTGTTTTCCTAGTAATTCGGAAAGTTGGAAATTTTGCTTCTCTTTTTTTGAAATCATTTATTGACTGTTAAGGAAAATTGAAGATCAGTGGAGTTAACTGCGTTATATTTAAAATTGATATTGCTATTAGTGGTTTAAATTAAACGTTTCACAGTAGGATTAGGATTTTTTCAAAAAGTCCATGCAGTTATGACTTTTAAAGTTATGACTTTATCCTGTCTGCATTTTCTTCTTTGTAAAGCAAATAGTATTAGTTGATCAGGCATTTCGTACACTGGCAGTGATTACCATGTAATCATTCAGTAATTTCCAGTATTCAGTCATAACTTTTTTTGAATTTGCAGGAAAATTGGAAGATGCTAGCAGTGCGTTGGACGAAGTAGCTCCAGATTTGTTATCTTACCCTGCAATTTTGCAACTCAGGGTCGCTCTTCTTCTGGCTACAGAGCAGCAAAGTGTATGTTCCACCATAGTTTATTATGTGTTGTCAATATCATACACGAAAATAGCTTTTCATCAACATCAAAGATGCTTTTGATTGTGACATATTTTATCTTGTTTTGAAAATTTAATTACAGGTGGCCTTGAGTCTTCTAAAGTCTGCCTTGGATTCGGCGAAAAGTGAGAAAGCTCGCATCGCAATGCTAGAGGAAATTGCTTCACTTAATGTTCAGTTAGGAGATTATCCTTCCGCTGCAGAATGTTTCGAAAAACTTTCTGAACTTCGTCCCAATGATATGCAGATAATGTGCTGTTTAATCAAAGCGTATTCAGCGTTTAATGTAGCACGAGCTGAGGAGTTATTAGCAAAAGTATTTCCACAAGGGAGTAGTACTGATATTGATGTCGACGTATTGGAAGATTCCGACTTTATCTTATATGGTGAACGTTATCGTCAGAAGAAAGAAACAAAAACAGAGGCTGCTGATAGTGTTAGTTCCAATTTTTTGGTTAGATAAGCATAGATGAATACTGAAATCAGTAGTCCGGAATATGTAGATTAAGGTATGCTTTAAAAAAATATATGAAAAAGAAAATATAATAAAGAAAAACATTTTTTTTATTAACATTATCAACATACGTTCGAATTTAACAATCACTGGCTTGGTTACACAGTCATTATTTTTATTGTACTTTTTATTTTTTATTTTTTTAAATTTTTTTTCAGGAAATAATTGCTAGTAAGAGGAGAGCACACAAACGTAAGCGAAAGATCATCTTACCGAAAAACTTCGACCCGAAAATACCTCCTGATCCCGAGCGGTGGTTACCAAAACAGGAACGTACAGCATTTAGGAAAAAACTTAACAAAAAGCATCGTGATCGCGATATCGGTAAAGGCACACAAGGAGCAGTTAGCTCTTCTCCCAAAATGTACGTGTTTCTAAACCGTTATAAATTCCTGTTCATAGCTGTTATTCATAACATGCATCACAAACTCTTTATACTACAGTAATGAATTTTACATTGTTTAATTAGGATTAAAAGTCGTATTTTTAGAGAACCAACGATAACGACGAAAGCAAATAATTCACCGCATCCGGCAGGTCCAGTGATGGGTGTGGAAGGCCCACGTCAACAAAGACCAGCTGGTCAGCAACAAAAAAAGAAGAAAAAAAAAACGGGTAACAAATGGTAAATAAAAGAGATATGTTTTGTACATATCTGGAAAGACTTCATTGTTTTAATCCTAAATTTAAAAAGCATGTCATTCAAGAGATGCTGAAATCCTGCTGAACCTGAGCCGCAAGTCCCCCTATATATCATCTCCTATATCACTGCTTTTTTTTAGAAATTAAATTTAATTTTCGAAATTCCCTTGATTACTTTTTTTTTTTTTTTTTTTTTTTGCCTATTTCACATCTGTGGCATGTGTTAGAAGTAAAAATTATAAATAGTTGAATAATGAAAGGAGGAGATATAGGCACATAATGCTCACATGCTATACAGTCAACCTTACAAATATTTAAAATTACCTAGCATATGAGAATTTTTTGTAATAGAGAAAAGGTATTCGTTTGGTAAGATCCCTTATAATACATAATATCACATTACACATCTTGAAACGAGTAGGTATAGTGTTGAACAGTCATTTCATCTGTACTCAATGGATTCCTGAATTCCACAAAAGGCTGTGGCGTATGAGAAATCCTAGAATTGTTAACTATATCAAGAATCCTAAGACACCATATGATTGTTGCAAAATGAGCACCTAATGCAAACACTTCCGCTGTATTGTGTATTCTCCATGACCAACTGATCGCCTCACCTACAACAAATCACACGTTGTTAGATGTCTTAAAATCATTTTCAGTTTGAATTTTTTGCTAAAAGTTAGAATCTGATACCAATGTTTCGATAGTCCAACTGTGTTAGAATGTCCGCGAAACGAATTGTGTTAATCATCAGTAGGCATGTACAATGCAGCAAGTTCGCATATAAATCTTGACTAACGATAATCTGAAATAAGTCTTTAATTGAAATAACTGAGTTCATAGTGTATAATTGCATTTCAGTGAATGTGAGGTAGCTTCTCCTCGCAACAGTTTTGATAGTATTTCAAATAATTGAAAGAATTTATTATAATTTAGTTCGCTCTGGTGTAATTGATTACGGTTGATATACCTGATAAAGAGGAAAAATGAGAAGAGTTACGGTAAGGGACACATGATAAAGTGAGGTAAGCAAAACAATTAACGGATGTCTCGATGAATTCCATATAAATTCATACATAGTAGCGATAAACACCACGGCACCGGCAATTAGCAGAGCGAAGCCAATTTTCTGTAATTTTTATTTCAAATGAATTCACTAAGGATTTTAAAAATTGTTTAAGCCAAGTGAAACAATTCTTTAACTAACGCTATGCAAATGCTAGTTATGGTCATGCCTAGCCTGTAATTACATAATTGTCGGGAGTCACATTTCATACTGGATGAATTTTTAGATTGCATTAAAAAAAACTAACCGTTAGATTCAATGGTCACCAATATTCATTATTATAATGTAGGAAATTCCGAGCTAACCTCAATTAATTTCTCCAATTTTATAGCCACCGTACTTTTCCCACCAGTATTGTAGGAGCCACGGCGCGGATTTATTTGTACCACTCGCCAGATGATGAAAGCCAGAGCACAGGATGCAACAAGAACACAAAAATATAAAATTGTTTCTACGAAATGAGATATGGCGCCAGATATAGTCAAATAATTGGTGCACCAGGCGGAACCACGGTAAAATATTTCACACACTTCATCGGCATAATATCCATTCCATGAGAGGTAAAGATATGAGATAAGTAGGAATGTTGTGGACTGGATGCAAAATAGCAATGTCGTTAGTCTAAAACAAATCTTGAAAAATCCGTGAAAAAATTCCATTGTAGTAAAATTACTGTTTTTTATTAATCTTTTTCATTAATTGAAAAAATATGACACAGTGTGAAAAAAAAAAAAATGTAAAACGCCTCTACACAAGTCGAAATAATATCGAATGCAAAGCAATATGATCTTGTTGTTTCAGCAAATTGCACCACTCTTCATCAATTGATAGTTAGAATTACTTTATGAAAGTTTAAATGATACGATGTGGAACATACAATGCAGGGATCACGAAGAAATTGACCTCTCTAGCAGAAGCAAAAAATAGGAATGCGGTGACTAAGGTCGTCAAGAATGGCGCCTTTTGCTCATTGCCATGGAAAATTTTATAAAACGCCTCTAAACGAGTCGATATAATATCGAATGCAAAAAGTGTTATAGAAATTGTGCCTGCTATTATACCTGAAAGAATTTATTAACTGAATTTTAAGTCAAAAAAAGACAGATCCATATTGCCCAATTCGATTTCTTGGATTCTTGGTCAGAAATCTGCTCAAGTTACGATTACTAAGATAAGGTACGAAGTGCTTTTGCTAATTCTATCCACAAAACAAATAAATGTAACTTCAAGAGAAGATTCATTATATACTTTGATCAACAAGAGGTCCTGCTGTCGAGTCATCAGAATCTGATCATACACTGCTTTATCAGAAGTACTTAGTCTATACAACAGACATTTCTATGACTGTGATCGGACCATTTCGGTAAACATACCCACAGCTTTAATCGATAATGTAATAAAACTGCACCTGATATGAAGAGAAATGTCCTAAATTGGGACGAGAAATTCATGTGAAGTGGTTGCCCACATGAATTAATAAGGATCAAAGTTAGAATAATTAATAACACAACATGTGCAATGCCAGTACTTAAACTGAGCACTGATAACCAGTCTGGTATCCACTTCGCAAATGCTGCCCCAGAAATCTGAAATAATTTCGATGGAGATGAAGTTTTAGTTCAAAATTTTGAAAATTTTAAAAATCTCGGAATGGAAATTCAGCAACAACTTACTACAGCGTTAGAAAACCATCGGTAATCAATCCATAAATAAGTAACTGTTGGATAAATGCTTATTGAAGAGAGGCAGAAGGTTATTATTCGTGTTGGAGAATTTGTTGGAACTCGTAGAATACAAAAAATACCTTAATGAAAATCATCAAAAAATAAATTCTAAGTTTGTCAATAAATATTTCAATTTTAACATTTTGGCTATTTATAACTTGATGAATAAACAGATCATTGGAGAAAATACCAAGAGCGACATTAAGCATAATCCAGAGAGGTTCATCAGTAGTATAATGTATGAAAGTATAACGTATAACATTGCCGATAGAGCGTAAAAAGTATAATTCGGCAATCCAGGAGAAAAATTTAAGCATGGAAGTGACGATAAGAGCGCAACCGATGATAGATAATGGTATGGAATGTCTTTCCATCTGCACATCCAGGAAACATCGATGACATGATGAGAGTATCAGTAGAATTAATGCTACCGATACTGCGCTGAGAACCATATCCACTGTACTATAGCTAAGCAGTCCATACACCTGAAATATATGATGGAAAATAAATGATACCTATACCTTGAAGAGGTGAAATAACTTAATATGCTAACATAATCAGGCCATGGTAATGAAGTAACAGAAAACAGTTGTACCTGTATCCTTGTGACGAAAACATTCTTTGTCAGCGAACTGAAATCCTTGCAAATAGCGATCACATTGAAAAAATCAGCAATGACTGCAGCAGAACAAATAGTTAAGGCGAATATGTCCACAATGATAGCAAAAATGGATGAAGTGGACAGGAGAGTGAAGGATGGACAGAGAGATGACGCGATGCCAGCAAATAGTGATATGATAGTAATCCAGTGAGTATTAGTGAAGTGCTCCGTATGATACGACTTCTCCGCTTGAATACAACCAGCCAAAAAAGCATTCAGAGCACTTACCACACCAACAATAGTAAGTATCCGAGATGTTCGATGTATTTTGTCCATATTTTCTCACATTTGAAAATTTAGCTATTTTTATTAAATTGTAGTTTACTCACAGAGGTAAATAATGAGTAGTGGATGATGTAGAATTCAAATGATTTAACAATTAAGCTGAAGGGAATTAATGGATTTTGGAGCTAGTTTGAATCAATCGCAATGAACTTGATTTAATTATATCTGAAATTGAGATGAAATTCGATAGTTAAATTGAACTAAATTTACAACTCGACTTAATCTGATTGAAAAATTTCTTTGTTGAATTTGAAATTAAAGCATAAGCATCCTATTAATAAACACTAAAGAAATTAGTCAAACAAACGACAAAAATTTATTACAGCAGACATGAAAGCATGATTTGATATCAGTAAATTACGAAAGATCACCTTCCCTTCACAACTGCAAATTACCAGTTTGGGTAAATGTGCCCGGCGTGTTATGTCTCTCTACCAACAATTTCTCTTAGATCCTTTCATTCCTCCTTTTATTTACCACAGTTAATATATTGGTTTTATAGGAATATTCACAACAGGTTGTAAAGAATCAGACATTTCAATCTACACTCTTCCTTCTCTGCTCTATCAAACTATTCGCAGTGACTAACAATTAACAACTTTCCGCTTGAACTGGGAAAATTGCAAGCTAAATCTCCCTTTGATCTGAACTGAATGTTTTATACGACAATAATAAACTTCAAGTAGTTAACTTCTCCGATCCGCATATTTCTTATAAAAGCCATGTTATCTTAAACACCAAAAATCAATCGAAAACGACTGCTGACCTATAAAATCGGCTATTTATTCATATTTTATTAATTCCGTTGCTTTTATTTGACAATACGTGCGTGCAACCTAGATTATGAGTTGCCCAAACTTGACAGCTTTATATTGCTGGATTTCCTCAAGATTTAATAAATACGTTTAACATATAAAGGACTGAAAGCATCAGTCATACTTATATTACTAATACCTTTGTTATAATGAACTGCACGAATCCACTCTGAAATTACTTCTTGAAAAAAATATTCAAATATTAAATGTTTGAGTACATCACACAGTTGAGATAAAGATTTCATTTTTGAATCAGGCAAGCACAAATATTTGAGAATAAATACAATTTTTCACGCGTCTATGAATATCTAGTAAGAACTTGTCTCACTTGCCTCGTCACGTATTCAGTTATTAGTTATGTTTTCATAAATAGAAGCAAAAAAATCTGCGAATAAAAATCACAGAAATCTAAATGTCACAATATTTCTATATTGAATATATGAATATAAAATAATCTGAAAGACTTCACCAACATTTCAACAAATCAAGGCAATAAACAAAATAAACAAAACTTGATAAAAGTATGACACAAATTAGATTGCATTTTGATGGAAATATTAAACTCTAACAATGGATCAGATTCAAACTTACAGTGGTCAAAAAAAAAGATCAGTAGGAAGAAGTAATAAACATATATCTTGATAGGACGTATATTGCTGCAGTAGCAGTACCAGCAACTAACCACTTTCGAAGGGATGTCTTTGGAAACGACGGTTTTCGTATCCGACTAATATTTATAAGATGTTGATAGTCTTCCATTAGCGGACCACGTAACCGTGATGGAGGAAACATCCTTAAATTGAGAGTAATTTTCAAAAAAAAATTTTTTTTAAATTATAAAGAGAAACAATTTATTACCAAAATGGATAGAGATAAGTGAGTAAATAAATAGATGTGCATAAATGAATCGAAGAAAAATAAGTGAATACAATATATAAATAAATATATATGAGACGGAGAAATAACCGAAACAGATCTTGCGCATCGTTGATTAGTGCTTGAACAGGGATATCATTTGGTATTACATTCAGTAGATGATGAATAGAAGCCATGTCCCGAGAACAATTAAGGACTGCATTACTTCGCCACAAAACGACAGCAGAAGTTAAAAAAATGGGAGTAAGCGCATGAGTAGCCAGGAAAAAGTCGAAACAAAGCACAATCTGGAAGGAACAGGAAACAACCCTTGAAGTAACTGATTGTCGTTTTTTTTTACCTACAGTTCGTTGTTTTTCAGAAAGTAAAAAACAAATGTCTCAAAAAAATGAACCAGAAAAAAAAAGCAGATACATGTCAAATATAGTACTGAATTGTTCGAAAACGTTAAACGAAAAATAACAAACTTGGTGGTAGTGATGAAGAGCATGTGAAAACCACGTCAATGGCCAGCTTAAAGCAAATAATGATCCTAATTCTACAGCACGTACTACTTTTTCCAACTCTTCATCAACTTTCCAAAGCAAAACATGCATCAAATCAAGATCTCTGAGTACGGTATCTTCTAGCTTTCTGAGAAGGTAACTGAAAAACATTAGTTTTAAAACAAGCATCAATTGAAGCTGACGAAATATTTTCTAAGACATTTCATTCAAAAGTACTCAGTGGTGAATTTTTTCTCAGTGACATAAAATAATGCTTGGAATAAAGTAGAATATCTATCAAATAGAAAGCAAACCCCTTAAAAATTCCATTATTTGCCAAAAGTGTACCAACATGCTCTGCTTTCTCATTACCGAGCACCAATAATAAGGTCAAACAAACATCATGAAAACCTTAAAACATAATATATTATACAGCAAACTCTAACACCAGTGTTCAAAACACAAAAATATTTAGGACTAAATATTAAATTAAAACACTAATTTCTATTTTCTGATAGGTGAAGCTTTTGTACTACAGCTTTTCTATACATTTGTTGGATCTGTTGTTGTAGAATTTTCTTTAATTTAAAAACTTACAAATTTAATAGAAAAATCCTAATATTTATTGAAAAGTTTTTGAAAGAAACAACTTTTCGTAAAACGACTTATTAAAGAGAGCATTTTGCAAATGATTTCCATAACCTTGATAATAATGAAATCGAGGACAGCTCCAGAGAATTTTTACAATCAAAGGAGTTAGATCTTCTTGCAAAGTACATCGTTCTTTATCTGATATATCAGGTGGAAATCGCGCCAGTGTGCGCTGAACATCCATTTGCACCTGGTTCCATTCACGATGACTTTGTAAATCTTTCAACGTTGGACTTGACAACTAAAATACTGGAGCGCCGATGTTAATGTATTGAATAAAACTGCTCTTATCGAAAATATTTATTTCCATTTTTGAACTGAAAACTGTCTATCTTTTAATATCAAGTGTAACTTTAATTTCACTATTAAGAGCACATAAGTGTGTCAAAACAAAAATGTTTCGTTGCCAACACTTTTTTGGTTAACCAAATTTAAATCCGAGCTTTTAATGATATCCCAAATAGTACCAAGGAAAGGAAAAGGACGAGAGTCTTGAAATATCGCAGCATATTGAAACGAAATTCATGGCTAGTTCCTCTAAAACTTAATATTTTCATCAAACATTGCAAAATTTGTTAATAAGTTTTGGAATCAAAAGTAATTTTCAACCAAATGATTGTACAAATAAACATCGAAAATTAACTGACATCGATAATTTTATATCTAAAAACTTGTTCTTAAAAATAAGAATATTTCCTTGATTTTTAAAATTTTTCTCTAGGACACGTCTAAATCAAAGGCAAATAACTATTAGAAATATGTAAGAACTTAAAATGGTAGCAGAGTCAATCGTGGAGTCATGTTCTTCATAAGTGAAGTCGGAATGAGCGGATTCAAAATCAGAATCCGAAAATGTTGATGCTGTCTCCTGATCAGTGAACGAATCCTGTACAAGTGAAGATGCCAGAACAGGCCAAACAAGAGCACGAATTTCATCCAGAACTAAGCCTACGACAAAGCATACTGATTCTGATAATAGTAATCTGCTTATATGCTTCCATTAACTAAGTGTTTTATCAGCTTTGTAAATATTAAAGAAGGACAGAAATTAGAAAAAGAAAAAATTGGATGAGTGAAAAAAGTTCGAAGTGAATATGATGAACAGTTCCGGTATAAACTTTTGCTAGCATTGCACTATTTAATATCGTAATACAAAACAAATTTATGAAAAACCAATGACGAAACAGATTTGCATTTTGACTGTATTAAGACCTTAAAATACCAATTAAAGCATACCACCGGTAGATGCGGCAAACTGTCGCAGCTGGCTAATATGTAAATGCAACGAGTCGTGATTTTCATCGATAAATGTCCGCATGCGATTGCATTTAATTTGTAACGTCCGACTAACAGCATTTCTTAATACATTTTCACTCACTTTACTTCTCTGAAACTTCACTTCCATCGACAAACATGCACATAAGAAATAACAACAGATCATTGAATAAAGCTAATAAGTAAAAACATGGCATAACAAGAAGTCATGTTAAAAATATAAATAAATCGGTAATACTACTTTAACTATTCTAATGGATACCTAATTCCTTTTCATTCTGAACACTCACATAAAGCTCAAAGTGATTTATAACTGCAACAAAAATACGTTAAAAAAACTTGAAATATATCAGAAAGCATTCATACTTTCTTTGCAACTACAAAAGATGCAGAATAATCGGAAAGTGAAGGCATATCCTTGAGAATATTGAAGTATTACTGCAGCAAATAATCCCAAATAAGATCCATTTTCGAATCATACAATAATATATACATATAGTAGTTAATCAGTTATTTGACAAAAAATGGAAAAAACTTAGTTTTATCGAATTAGCAATAAATGGGATGAAACTGTAACTCTGAAATAAGTATACTGCAAACACTAGCACAAGAGTAAAATATAATAACACGAGCACCACCATCTTATCTCACACTTATCTGATACTATCGTCCACTTCAAATAAGACACATTTGTCGACGAGCTCTTCTGGTAGTCGTTGCTCTGACGATCTCTTGCTTAATTGAGTTATTTGTATGGGATTCAAATTAATGAAACATTTTTTCATTATTTTGCGTGAGTTTATACGTAATTAATTAATACGAATTTAGGACAGCCTTTCGCTTCAACTTTTATATTTATACACTTTTATATTAAGATTAATGAGTATATTTTAGAGAAATTAAAATTTTCTTAAGAAATAATGAAGTGGGACAGAAATGATAATGACAGTCCAAAGCTGTCCTAACAAATATTTTATTACATTTCGGCCGGTAAAATTATTAAGATTGATTTTTTTTTTTTTTTCATATTAGTGATGGCAATATCCTTCCTGTATTTCTTTTCTGTTTGAAATAACTTATTAGTATTTAATGTTGTAATGACAGGAGATAATAATTACTTATAGTGGACGAGTTGGACGAGTTTTCTGAGATTGTAAAGTGAGTTCCGATTTTGTTGTTCAGTCAATTGATAGCTGAAATCATAGCGTAGCACTTGATGTATATGATAATTTCCGTGATGTAAATTACTGTCTTTTGTACATGTATATAAATAAAAACTTTGAAAAAAGCATTCCAGATTAGATACGAAATTTTGAATGGAAAATGAATAAACAAAATAAATATATTTCTTGACGGAAGCTTCAAAATCTAAGTCAATTATACAATACAAATGTGCTTATGATTTTTTTATTTCCCACTTAATTTAAGACTTCTCCCAAAAGTTTACCAAATAGCAACTTCTTTCATGCTGTGTGCTGATATATATCGATATTGAATGAGATTAGAATCCTATGCTTAGAAACTGTTTGAGTTTGAACAGCACGTTACTGTAATTTACTACCATTTTGTCATGATTTTCTGATATGACCTAACGATAAAATTGTTCGATTTGTAAAAAATTATAAGATTTGAGAGGGATTCAAAATGTTATTAATTCAGAAATAGATTTAAAACGTTAAATGAATTTGGTTTCTAAGTAATGTCATTCCAAGTCCTGTGTGTATGTAAAACTGGGCCTGGAATTGCTGTTTCATTTAATAAATGCACAAAAAATTTCAAACAATGAATTTACACAACACAACATTTCATTTCACCATTTCACGTTAATTAACGGATGTTCATACAGCTCGCGCAACTTTTCATCAGTCTTTAACAGTCACTTTGCTGTTGATTGTTAGTGCAAGATGATAAAATCTCAGAAGATTATTGTTTTATTTGCAGAGTTTTAATCCTTTAAAACTTCCTGATCAAATAATCTATTGAATGGCAACCAAACTGATTTTCCGTCAGGTGAATGATCTTTCGAGCAAATTCGATTTAGTGAAAAACACTTTTTGGAAAAAGTATTTGACATTCTGAACTGTGTAGATTTCTAACTTGATTTAAACTTTAATGTTTTTGGCTAAATTTCATGAGAGTTTATGAACATTTCCCCAGCTTAACTTATTTCCTTTTTTAGCTATTCGAACCCGTTTCATGCACTTATACGTATTTGCTAGGATGCTCTGTGAGTAGAAAATCGATAATAATAGATCCCGTGCTGGAAACTGTCGAACGGGATGCAAAGGTATCGAATATTACTTCAGTTTAGTCTGCAGTCCTGAAATTCTCCAACATCAATGAATCGAGAGATTTTGTTCTTTTTTTAAATTACGTCACAGTTACATAACTTTAAACCATACAAAATCGCTCACTATAGAGATATCAAATATAAATGATAGTATTTTAGCTTATCAAAGAGCTCAACTTGGATCCAATATATGGTGTTAACACACATCTTCATGCAGATCACATTACTGGTACTGGCAAATTGAAGCGTATTTTCCCACGTATGCTTTCTGTGTTATCAAAATATGTTGACGGTCATGCAGATGTACTGGTCAGTGATCGAGAGATACTAAAATTTGGCAATCAAAATCTGGAAGTTCGCACGACACCAGGGCATACTGATGGTAAATACTATGTAGCACTTTTGAGTCGTATATTGTTGCAATTTATAAGTTATTATCCTCTTATGGTCAGCTCAGGCCAAATTAATGGCGCAGTTTTTTTAATTAAATGATATTAAAGTCTTCTGAAAATGGTATCTTTTAGTAATTTATCTTGTCATTATTCGATAAGGCAAGTTAATAAGGTTCTGCTCACTTAGCTTTTTCATCTTTCTTCCGGTAATAATTAAAATCTGTACCCATTTTTTCGTATGAAATGTTTTCCTTAATAGAATCGAAATTAACAGAGGAGGTGGTATATTAGGCTCATCATTAGCTCTGAAAATAGAAAACTGGAAAATTTCCAAAGTGATGGAAGAGAAAATATATATTACAGCTTCGAATTTACTGGAAGAAAGGTAGCTGGAGATCGAATCAAGTAAATTTTTTCTTCCCTTATCGTTTGATGACAAGATAAATTGAGTGTATGACTTAAAGGGGATTTTAATATTTTGCTGTGATGTTTTTATTATAATATTTTGTACTGTGATATTTTTTAATAGAAAAGCCATCAGTGAGGCTGAATTTTAGTCCATTTAATCATTTCGCAACTTTCTTTGTGAAAAAATTCTTACAATCAATCCTCCATATGGTTTTTTCTGCTCATACTATTTCTGAATACATAGCAGATACAGATGATAGAAGATGAGTAGTGCTTTCAAGGATGTGTAACGTATGTTTTATATGATCACCGAATGGCTTTTACGGGCGATGCACTTCTTGTACGTGGATGTGGACGCACAGATTTCCAACAAGGTATACTTGCTTTTTTATATTTTTTGGTTAAATTCGTGCATATGTACACTTCTTGAAGCGTATTATGTTGAAACTGTAAGGTCTAAAAGTTCTGTAAAGTTAAAGAAAACATTTCTTAGACTGTTTAGAAACATCCAATAATGGCAAGGAAATAGTTAATAGCCGATATGGTTCAAAACTTTCACTTAAAACGAGACATGTTTCTATAGAATATTTAAGCTGGCTCTATTGTAATTCATGAGATTTTCTTCTAAATAATAAACATTTTCTCTTAGTATGTTCTAGCTATTTATAATAAACCATTTACTCAAGTAGAATAAAAGATGGAATTTAGTGAAGAGCATCAAAAGTATCTGTTGAAAAACATATTTTAGTAAAAGTAGTGGGCAGAAAATATAAATGTTGTGTTTGTTGAATTAAAATTCAGTAAATATAAGTATCAAATAAACTTAATTAGAAAGAAAAAAAACAGGCTCAAATTTTAAGTTGTATTTGTGGCGTGAAAAAATTGTTGGAAAGAATAAAAAAGATCTAATTCAATATATCCAGTCCGATAATTCATTGTCTCTATATCTGGATCTACCTTACCTGTAGGTTGCTCTTTACAACTACAGGCTTTGAACTGAACTGCTACTGGACAGAACTGTTTACCGCTTTAATCATCCTCGTTAAAATACTTATGTTTTTCTTCCTTTTTTTATGTTACATGATGTGCTATAAATTCCTATTAATGTTATTTACAGGAAATCCAGAAACATTATACAATTCAGTGCATGAGAAAATCTTCACTTTACCTGATGATTTCCTGCTTTATCCTGCTCATGACTACAAGGTATTTTTGGAATGAATCATTGCTTTCAAATAGCCAATTTATGAAATAAGATTTCTGATAACAACAAATTACAATATTTAGTGTCAAAACATTGTAATAATTAAATGTGTGTTTTTTCTTATAAAATTATGCACAAAATTGCAGTAACACTTTTATTTTAGAAATTTACACAGTCGTTCAAAAACAACAAAAAGAAAATAAAAGAATGAATCTTAAAGGAACATTAAGAGGACGAATTAAATTAAAAGAATTATCGAATGTTTACAGGGCTTTTTATTAACGACTGTTGGTGAGGAGAAGAAATATAATCCAAGATTAACGAAGACTTTGAACGATTTTATAGTTCTGATGAGAAATCTTAAACTTACATATCCGAAACAGATTGGTCCGTTCCCTTTAAGCCCTTTTTTGTTTTGAAAATCAAAGATTGATTATAAATAGTTCTTTAACTGACAAAAGAAATTTTTAAAATAAAGGGGATTTTCATGTGCAAGAGTTACTGCTAGCGGAAAAAGTGAGGACTCTGTTTTGTTGTAAGAAACATAAGATTTAATACTGAATCTTGTTCGGCATTAATAATCATGAGTAGTTAGGCTTTTTTCTGGCAAGATAAATAATATTCGAGCAGCAGTGACTCAAAAAATTCATCTCATATTTAACTATTTTAACTTTAATTTGTTCAACGAATATTCATTTTGCGGTAATTTTAGATAAAGCCATACCGGCGAATAAAGTGTGTGGCGTATACGAACTAATGGATGAGAAGATAAAAGCAGAATAGAAAAAGCCAATGAAAATGCTAAAAGCTTCCTCGGTCATGTTATAATTTCAACCGCCATATTATGAATTATTCATGTGAGCTATCAGGCAGAAAGATGCATCCCACAATTTGACCTAATCGAAATCGAAAGAAGTGGGAATCTTAAGAAGGCTCTGTCTTAAAGAAGACTAATAAATTAGTTCCCACTTGCTTTTGAGGAAGTATTCATTTTGAGATGAAGAATGCAGTAAATCTGGAATTCAACTGTTCATCTTTACAAAAGTAACTACTGACGATATGTCATTATACTTTATATCATGCAAAATACAAGTAATTAGGTCTTTTCATACCTATAAAATGGACATATGTTTCGAAATGATTATATATGTTACATATCTAATTGTAATGTCGATATCATTTGAAAAATTCATAAAGGAAGTGATTGAATGTTGACATGTTCATCCGAATAATCACTTCGAAACAAAATTCATTCAAAAAAAGCTGAAGCTGATGAATCATAATTTCGATTAAAAAGCTGTAAGCAATCTTAGCCTCAGCAGTATATCCATATTATTACGAGTGGGTTTGGGGTTCAAACACACATAATATGGATGAATCAGTTCCCTACTATTTCTTTTATTGTCATCCAGTTTTATAATCAGTCTATCTGAATTAAGGAATATATTGTTACGTATAAAATGTTAGAAACCGAATTGGAAAGGTGATTTGTGCAAGGAATATGAATAAACACATTTCATTTCCTGCATCAGCACATATACATTATGCAGTTATGTCAATCTCGATATCTTGATTTTCAGTCTATATGTTCCAGTAAATTCCGATATTCCGAATTTTATTCCTCGTTAGCACTCGTTTGGGAATCGGAAAAAGCTGAGCCTCATGAAAATCACGAAAGAGAAATGAAAGAAGAGGGGATTCGTGCAGTTGACATGTCATTTACTTCATTATCAAATACTTGGGTAAGAATTCGCTCACGCGGGAGCCCTGGGCTTGGTTGAAACTTAGGGTCTTGCTAGTGGACATTTCTGTTGCACATATTTTGAATTTAGTTGTATAAATTTCGTTCTATTTATCGAGTTCATCTGTTTCATTGCTGTCTTTGTTTTGTTGGCCAGTCAGGTGACGGTATCTGGTATTAAAAAGATGAGCGAAGTGACGTCCTCAGTTGAAAAAGCGGAAGTTATTACCAGGCCCAGGAATAAGTTGGGTGAGGATGAAGACATGATTGAGCTGCTTACATTCGAGAGAAACATTATGCTGGACACTTATGCTGATGATGTTCTTTTTGTCTTTGCCAGGTATGCTACTTTCATTGCTTACTAGGTGATTGTCATTCACTTAGTTCTAATCTTTTTTTTTTTTTTTATTTTTCAGTGGTTTGGGAATGGAGCGTTTCATGCTTCACCATCTACATTTATATTGTGATCCACAGTTATTGGTATTTATTATCAATACGACTCCACAAGATGATGTTAGTAGCTTTCAGGAATATTTCACGTAGAAGAGCATTGTAAGCTCTTAAGCTATCGAAAACTTTCCCATTTCATTCCAGTTGTATCTTAGTCTTTATTTCAGAGTTACATGTGTTTCAGAGCATTCTCTAAATACTATTGTGATACAAATCCATTGAAAAAATTAGGAGATTTCAGACATACTTCCTTTCTCGCTTACGCGATTCCAAAGTTAAATGTCCACCAAAGATCATCACAGCAGATTGCTCCATAAAGGATCGGTAGTCTTTTTCATTTTTTGTATGGAAGAATGATGGTGAGGAGAGGTTATTATCTGTTCATTTTCAAATTCATTTTCTCTTTTACCTTGTTCAGGGAATCACTGTACATGGAAGGAGGGATACAATTCATTACGTCACGGATTCTGATGGTTGACCTCTTGCAAGAACGCGTCCCAGTAAAGAATGTGGCTGGTATCATTGTCCATCGCGCGCATCAGTCTGTTTATTTCTTGATCGGTTTTGCAGTAAAAATTAGTTCATTGCATTTGTAGTTTCTTAACATAGGATGTAGTATTTGTTTGAATGTTTTCAGATTGCTAAGTGGGTTTCAAGAATCATTCATCCTTCGCTTATATCGAGAAAGGAAGGCGGGTGGTTTTGTTAAGGCATTCAGGTTTTTGGTTTCATAGATTTTTTATTTCTTCAAGTTTGCTATTGCTGAACTGATTGGACTGCATAATCTGCTCTTTAGTGACAATCCGGGAGCACTGTCTGGTATGGGTGTTTTGCAACGATTGTTGAATCGATTATATATTCGGAGAGTTAGACTTCTGCCAAGATTTGATGTAGATGTGAAAAGTTCATTAGATCCTTGTTCTGTGAGTATTTACTATATATTAAAATGCATATACTTTAGGTTGACATTTGTTTCGTTTTGTGAGAGTATGGTAAAACGGAAGCGTTAATTGTTGATTTTGTCTGTAAGCATCAAAAATGTTAGAGCAGTGAGTTATAAGTACTTCTTTAATATATAGTGATAAAATGATTTGAAACTGATTTCTAGCCACATATGATAGAAATAACACCTGACTTACCGCATGCGATGCGAAAGATTCAGTCATTATTGGTAGATATAATACGTACTTGTGTTCGAGAACTGAAACAGGCTTCATTATCAGCAGATGTAAGTTTTTAGAAAATAGAACTTGCATTTTCCTCATTCTGCAAAAAACTGATTAATCTTCGCAGTAATTATAGAACATCCCGGATGAAGAAAGTATGCAGCCAGCTTCGGGTCTTTTGCCTTCTTCACTAGAAATACAACTGAAAGGACGACATTTCTCCATTACTGAAAAGCAGCAGCGCCTTTTAGCTGATCTCAAACAACTTCGAAATCTTTTATACAAAGTTAGAAATATGATATTTTCGTAAATGGATGTTCTGAGCAGTTTTAATTAAAGAAACGTAAAGTTTGTAATGTAATTGTTGTCATTTTCAGGCTGAAGAACTGGATCCAATTACTCTTTACTGCTCTTTGGATGAAGTCAGAAATAATAAAGATGTGAGTTTCACTCGAGAAAATTTTCGAATTAAATTTTACCTCAACTAATCTTTGATGAAGCGTCGTTGGCTTACTTTCAATAATTTCGAAATTATTTGTTGTAGTCCAAGATTTTTAAGAGTATGTGTTAAAAATCTGAATAAAATTTTCTAGCTGATTACAACTAATAGTGGTTGGTTGTTCACACAGACAGCCTCAAAGCTATTTGCGGAAGCGGACAGATTGTGCAAAATTAAATCTGATACCAAACAAAGTGTGTTAGGTAAGTAATCGTTTTTGTTTGCTCGAGCTATTTAGGAACTGAAGTTGTTGAGTTGTTTGGCGTGTCCGACACAACTGTCCTTAATTTCCTTGTGCTGGGCTTTCTTTTTTTACTCATTGCATCATATATGCAACTCGTTTTTTTGAATCCAGTTGAATGATTTTCTATTTGTAATGTTAGTTCCGAAGTCATCTATTTTAGTAGTATGAAACTAAAAAAGCATAAGAGCGTCAAAGTTTAAAAAATCTAGCTCTAGGCTATATTGCCATATGTATAGCATTAAGAGTCAAACTCGAAGCTAGAAATTTCAGAGCCACCAAAATGGAAAGCACTTCTTAAAATTTTAGAGGAGATCAAAATCAATTATAAAATGGAAAGGATGAACTCTGAGAAAGGTATATTACAATTTACGGCATAAATTTGATGGTTAAGAGAGTATTTATTTAAAAGGGCATTGAGTCATTTCCATTAAAATTTTTTACTGTGAATTACTTTGTTTTAAAATATTTTCTAAAGCTTTACGAATTGTTTCTAGAACCAACGGTGTTATTAATTGGTGCAGGAAATGAGGTGTGTCGACAGTTGAGAGACATCGTCAGTTGGGGTGTGGCAAAATTTTTATGGATAAAAAATGAACAGCTGGGACAAAAGTTCATTAATGGAAAAGGGGAAATTGAACCGGAAGCACAACCTTCATGGGATCCTTCACAAATTGTTCTTTTCGCTAATAATAGCGAGGTGAATTATTTTATACAAATTCACATTCTTTCTTTTAAGTGTTCGGACAAAGTGTTAAAAATCTTTTCATTTTTTATTTGTAGGGCGAAACAGGTAGTGAAATCATAAATAATCTGAAAGTCTTGCAAAAAGAATTCACCCAACGGAATCGCAAAAGGCGTCGTTTATTTGAAGATATAAAGAAGAAGCATGACTCAGGCAAACAGGCTCGACTCATGCGTTTCGGCATAGTGCAAATTAAAAAGATGACAAAAGTTAGTATTATTCAAGTGTGTTCTCACTTCATGATTAATTCATTATTTTTATCAGAATTTAAATGTCTGTCAAAAATACTGTCATCTTTTTGGAAATTTATCAACTTCTATATCGACTAATGCATTTCAGAAATGCAAGACTTGTTTCACTCTAGTTGGTATTTCTTAATTGAAATTCTTAAAGGAAGAGGAAAGTGCATCTACTTCGAATATAAATGTCGAAGATGATCAGTCTGGAAATCCAAGTGATTCGGAAGGAGTTGGAATTCAGAATCAAGATCCTCTTCTAGTCATTGTCCCTTCTGGTGATCGATATAACCTCATCAGACAACTAGAAACCTTCGAACCACAAGTTGTTATTCTTTATCATTCCGATATGGTATCCCTTCGGTTATTGGAGGTAAAGTATTATTTTGTGCTGTTCAGGCAAGGTTTTAAATAAAGTTTCTTTAAATTAGAATTAACACATGGCATAAGTCGTCAACTTTGAATAAATGAAAGTAGAGAAAGACATTTTTTCGGAATCATTGCGAATAATCTTAGTAATCTACACTGCATATATTTAGTTAATTATGTACCGTTGCAGATGTACAAGGCATGCCACTCTCACATACCGTTAACAATCTATATTGTAATGTACGGGAATTCAAATGAAGAAGAGCGTTACCTCTGCTCACTGAGGAAAGAACAAATTGCCTTCGAGGAAATGGTGCGGGAGCAGGGGGTATGTCCGATTGTAATAGTTAACCTTAGGGATTTGCCTAAAAAAAAGTGTATTTTTAAAAGTAATTATGTGATAAACCATTTTCAGACGCTGATGTCTGCTAGGGAATATGAAACAGATCGTGAAGAATCACACAGATTGATACTTATGAGATCAACGAGAGATGCTGGTGGAAGAGCTAACCAAAACGAAGGAAACCCAAAGGTGAATTTTTTCACTTTTTCGAAGTTCATGAACCATTAAATAAACCACTGAAAAAACATGAAGCACTTTTAAATATGAAAACACAATTAATGTAATTCAGCATTTTAGGTGATAGTTGATATGAGGGAATTCCAAAGCGAATTACCAACAGTGCTTTACAAGCGAGGTATAGATCTACTGCCAGCTACCATTGAAGTTGGAGATTACATTCTCTCGCCAAATATAGCTGTTGAAAGAAAAGCTCTCGATGATCTTACTCAATCACTTCATAGTGGTCGCATCTTCAAACAAATTGAACAGGTTATTTTTATCATTTTTGTTTTTAGAATTAACTACATAAGCTATCCTTTAGTGCTACTGATATTGAAATTAAATCTGTTAAAAACAGTTCTTTGGATTGCTCATTATATTAACATTTAGCTATAACATAACTCTTTTTTAGCATAAATTGTGTTTTAGATGCTTCGTCACTACAAAAATGTAATTCTGCTTATTGAAGCAAATGTCAAAGATGACTACAAAAAAGTTAATGGTGGTCCCTTCCAAGTAAGCTTGTGACCTTAACCTTAGGTCTCTTTTTTTTATTTTCTAGGACATTAAGTTCAGCACAAAATTTTAACTCGTTAGGTCAAATTATTTCTGTTGTTCGTGTCTAGTTGTCCCATTATTATGGAAAAATAAAGAAAAACGATAACTCATAACCATTTTAAAAAATTAAAGGGAGAATTAAGTCGTCGTTGTCGTGAAACGCGATCGCTTTTCACAATTTTGGTGAGAGCATATCCAGCTATGAATGTTATTT